ACTCTGTAGGAATTTGATATATTGTATGTGTGAATGACTATGTATGTAGCTTGGTAAAAATATATACATCTGAGTATTGTATGCATGTGCTTTCATGACAATGCCAAACGTTTGGCTTAAAGGATTTTGGTTTGAATTGACTCGGGTTTGTGGTCACATGTGTGTCATTTGTTCTTAGACCAAATGAGGTCGGGACAATTTATAACGGACTTTGTGGGTGCTAAGAAGGAGTTCGGGAGATGAATTGAGAGAAAAGAATGAATAGTAAAAAATTTAAAATATATTATTATATTATAATTCAATGACAACGATAGTTTAAATTAAAAATTTGATTTCTCCGAATTTCTGAATTTGCGGAGTACGTAACAAATTATCCTAAAACTTCTGTTTCAGCGACTTATTGGCGTGATTTTAGTCCGAAAATGTTGTGTGTGTGCCATAAAACCACTCCGAATTTTCGGAGTATTTTTCGGAGTAAGTATATTTATATGAACTTGGCATTAACTTTTGTTTTAATATCTTTTTTCAAAAGCTACAACTAACAACTTATATTTACCAACAGCTTTCCAAGCCATGTCATGGAAACATTTTGCAATTGCTTTATCTATAGTACTTTGCCACGAACATATTTCATACGCTTAAACACAAACATACATATATACACATATATATTTCAAATAGGTGTTATATATCTCTTCAGTTCTACTACCGCATTGGCGATTGATATCCTTAAGGAATAATTTAAAGTGAACGGCACGTAGTGCAAATCGCAGCTCAGATGAGCAGTTGTGAAGAAGGGAATTTTATATTCGATTTTTCAAATTTACTCTTTTTTCAATTTTCAATTTTTATTTTATTTTTGGTATTACGCCATTGATATAGTTGAAAATCTCCAGTTGATTTATTATTGCCACCGAGTAGCAATCAATGCAGTGGAGCAGCTCAAATCTTCACAGTCCAATGTTGAAAGCACCACATACACATACACACATACGCACAAATGATTGCTTCGGTATGTACGTGCTCTCAAGCTTAATGCTTGCCGCTGAATGGCCACTGTGAGCGTGAAAAGCAATTCAACGGAAAGCAGAATTTATATTTATCATGCTGTACAGGCGCTTGCTTCCTTTTGTTTCGCTCGTTGCCCTTCGCTTGTACTACTTTGCACTTAAGCTTACGAATGACCGTAAATCGCTGAGCACGACTGATGGTCCTGGTCATACGAACGCTGCGGATTTATTGGTGCCTGCAGCCAATATGTGAGAGTGTGCGGGAGTAAGTGGTGTGGTAAGGAGGTTTGTGAATGGATGTGGTGGTTGCTTTAAAAATTACAATTTTATTGACAGTTGTTGAAAATGAGAAGCGAAATGTAATCAATCCAACTGATAGAATACATTCGCACTCTTTTTCATACTATCAAAAGCAAAAATAAACATTCTCAATTTTAAACTATGTTTGGTGTGGAAAATATATTTAAAAAAAATAAGTAACATAAATAAAAATGTTTTTATATGGTAATTATGAAATATCATATGGCAACTCTCACAGATAGTACAGTATTTACTTACTGGCATTCATGCAATTTATGGAAGCAATGTTTCAAAATAAACAAAAATATTTACATACTCAAATTTTGTTAATTATAAAAACTGATATGGCAACTCTTTCAGAAATATCAAAATTTAATATTGAATTTAAAATTATTAAAAAAAGTATAAACTTACTAACAATCAGAGTATATAGTGTTTTCTAAATTATTTTAGCACTTATTGTTTTTAAGCACATTCTTGTGTCATGGCAACTCTGCTCATGTAAAATCAATTTGAAAGAGCTTGTTAATAGCATTATCAATTTATGTCAGTTTATTCTGTATTTAGATTGTATAAAAAAATAATAATAATGAAACTTTGGAAATCATATGGCAACTCTTTTCACAAAGTTTCTTAAAAATTATACATTGCGTATTATTATTATTGAAAAATATGATAATCTTTTCACATTTTGGTTACTTTATGTGTATAATAAAACATAAATATGAACACAAGAAGCTACATGGCAACTCTGGATAGAAATACACGATTGTCGAAAAAAATTTCATTGATATCAAGTGCACTCTTTGAAGCTAGTAACAACTAGTTTATGATTTTTTGTGGTAATACGCTATTATTTTTAATTAAAAAATGTGGCAACTCTGTTTAAGCATAACATAAAAATATTTAAATTTTAAAATATTCGTGTGAAATTTTAAAAAAAATATGGCAACTCTGCATTGCTTAAATTTTTTTTTTTATTTTGGTGTGAAATTTTTGTGAAAAGGAAAAAATTAAAATCAAAGTTTAAAAGATATAGCAATCTGCATTGCATAAGAAATATATTATTTTATATTTTAGGTAGAAATTTTTTCGTGTTGAAAAAAAATTAAACTATTTATATTTTTGATACAAAACTAATGAATTCTGAATTACAAACAAAGAGAAATAATATTTATATTTACACAAAATGTTTTTATAAAAACAGGCGGAAAATTCCCAATATTCCCAGTTGCTATTCGCACAATTTTTTCCTTGAAATACCGGAACACAGCCTCTCTACTTATACCTTTTATAAGCTGTCGCGGTTAAGTAAACAACTCGGACTAATTTTTATTAAGCGCGAGATCAGCACAAATACAAACGCAAGGAGAAAAAGTAGAGCAACCGCAAGAAAATGTGCGAAAGCGACTTATGAGCAACAACAGAGCGACCTCAAATGGTTACTTTCAGGTAGGTAGGAGAAAGAGATCGCCAGGGGTTTGAAATGCGATTTAAAGTCAGCGAAAGACTGTCAAATTGCTTGGGGATTTCGCGACCTCATGCATACATATAAACAAACACGTACCACTTAAGAAGGACGCAGTAACGCAAGCGTTCAACCGCAAAAGCAAACAAATTGTGAAAAAGAAAACGAAGAAGAACAAGAGAAAACACTGTGGCAGAATGCTGCCGAAACGATATGCGGTGTTGGGTTGCTTGTTGTGTCAAGCAAACAAACAAGCAAGCGAATCAAGCAGGCCGCTAAAAGAAAATTAAAATGAAGATGACGAAGACGAAGATGAAGACGAAGACGGTCAAAGATGGCGTCACTGCGAAGGAAATTGGAGCACGACGTCTAACATCCGGTGCCGACGGACGAGCGCATACTTCACCAGCTGAGCGTGCAAATTTACATAGTAATGCATGACAGCAGCAGTGACACGCAGACAGCGACACAGTCAAGCAAATTAACCACGCACTCACACATGCGAGCCAAACACATACACACAAGCGTAGAAGCTTACAAATTGAAAAAGCCAGCATTTAAGCGCTCAAGTGGGTCGGCAAGACATGGAAGAAGGTGCGCGGCAGGGGAGGCATTAGAGACAACTGCGGCTCGGATCTTCGAGGACACGAACACCACCACCGCAGCAAACAGCCACATTCACCACCGACCATCGCTGCCGAACGGAAGAGCGACTAATAGAACAAAGTGAAATGACAAGAGCCACAAAGTGGTGCCATCGACGTTGGTGTTGGTGTTGGCGTTGCAAGGCACAATGACGCAGTAGGCAGCCAGCAGCGTATTAGCATATGGTGGCACATATGAGTGGCCGCTGTCATTGTTGTTAGTATTGCGTTGGCAAGTATATATATGCATACATGTATATGTATGTGCATATTTGTGTGTGCGCGTGTCGGTAATGTTGGCCAAGCGGCGGAAGTGAAGGCTATTGATAGACTGCTGAGGTTTTCTGGTGATGATGTAAATTTGATATGCTTCTCGCTGGTATTGCTGGTGGTAGGGTAGAGAGGAAATATTTGGAAGCAAATATGTAGCACATATAAGTCTTTAGTTTTCTTTATACACTGTAAAAAAAATGTTTAGCTCTCAACACAACACACAACTTATAATTTATAAAAATTTCAGAAAAAATTAACAACAGAAATGGTATTTTAAACTATAATAAGTAGTTTATAATGTTTAGAAAATATATGAAGAAATTTATAGAAATAAAAGTTATAAAAAATAATTTCAAAAAAAAAAATTGATATTTTTAGGGGGAAAACATTATCAAAGTAAGTCATGCAATTAGCAATTAATAAATGTTTTCGATTATACTGGAAAATGTTTAATTCTTTATTCTATCAAAAGCCATTGTTTTTCAAATTGTTAAAACAAAAACTTTGTACTATTGTATTTCATTATTTTTCATCGCGTTGTAATTTCCAAAACAATTTTTGGTTGTGATTTTTTATAAATCATAAAGATATGGCATTTTTAGTTTTTATTAATATTTTATTTCCAGTAAGGAAATATATTAAAATCTAATCTTCGAAAAAAAAATATTTTTCACATATATTTCAGTTTTGAATATAAATAGTTTGAACTAAATATATAATATATAGATTATAGAGAAAAAAAAATTGTACAACCGTTTGTAAATTTATAAACAAAATATTACAAAAAATAAAAATAAAAAATTAAATACTAATAATAATAAATACTTTAAGTACAGATATTTAAATTCGAATTTTTTGAATAAACCAAGTAAAAAGATAAATTTGTTTTTAGAGTCTAAAAAAAACTAGTATAAAGCAATCTAAATAATTTATTTGAATTTATTATTTTATGATGTTTTGAAAATATTTACGATTTAAACTGAATGAAAAAAAGCAAAAATAATTTTAAATAAAATTTACAGTCAGAAGAATATTATATTGCGTAAAAATTTTCAAAAAGTAATAAAAAAAAATAAATTTTGGTGTTTGATTTTTTTAAATTCTATTTTTCAAGAAACTAAAAAAAATATTTCTTAAAATTTTTGTATTAAAAAAATCGAATTTAAATTGTCTGAGTATTGAATAAATGTGTTTTTATTTTTTTTTTGTTTAATTCTTTGACGCCCCAATAATATTAAAAAGCGAGCTCCCGTACATTTTGCCATAAATTTTTAAATTTTGTTAAAAGGATATTGTAACACTTACCTTATTATTAAGTTGAATAGTTTAGAACCTTCTCATAAAATTGGCTGAAAAAAGAGAGAAAAAAATGCAGAAAAATTATTTCAAAGTTGTTATAAACTTAACTTTTAATTTGTTTAATAAACACTTTTTTATACAAATTAATTTTATAGTTTTATTTTTAATAAATTATATTTTATTAATTTAAAAACAAACCAAACTAATAAAAAAAATAACAATTTAAATACTTGTAATAAAAACTTTCCGAAAACTATTCGTAAAAAATATTTTTAAAAATTTGTTTCGACGATTTTTTTATAAAATAGGCTATTGTATCAAAAAGTAATCAAAATTAAGTTTAATTTCAATTATTATTTAAAACTTTTTTTTTAATTTTATGTTTAAAGTAAATATATTTTTTATTTAATATTTGAAGTAAAGATAAAATGATAAAAACAATTTTGAGTGCATTGTAAAGCCACAATTACAACAAAAACAAGAGTTATGCATTTGCTTCCACTCAGTGGCAACACTCAGCGCACAGGGAATAGCGTAAAAGAAACTGCCTTGGCCCACAAAAACAAAGCACAAATTGAATTGAGTGGCGAAAAATGCGCCAGCAGCAGCCGCCAACAATAAGAACAAGAAAAAATACAACTCAAAAACAAACTAAATAAAAGCGAAATAACTGTAAAAAACGTCAAGTGAAATGTTTTGCTGTTGGGCGCATCATGCAGCAGCCGTCACACATATACATACACACACATTCATGTACATATACCATATGAACACTAGCGCATGTACGCTTCAACCAACAGCAGCAACAACCACTGGGACAGTTCGACAGCGTGACAGGCGGCCACATATTGCCGATGGCAATGGTGCTGGCAATAAATGTCACTCAATGCAACAACAACAAAAACACAGTGCCAGCAGCTAAACAATTGAAGAACCACAAACCGGTAAACAAAAACCAAAATAAACCACACACAACCGAGCGGAGCGGGGGAGGGGCGGGGTACGGCAGCGCAACATTTGACAGGCTTTTCAATTTGTTTAAAAATAACCATCAATGATGACCAGTGTACACACAATTCGTGGCATGCAAGAAGCAAAAGTTGCGACAAGAACAACTACAAAAACAGCAGACAGTGCTAGTAGCTAGCAGCCACCATGGGCCGACTGACCTCGCAGTGCGATAAACAGAAATCGGGCGCATAGACCACAGAAGACCAACGAGAACAACATACTAACACACAAAAAAAAAAAAACTAACAAATAATATATGTATTAACAGCGTTACAACAACAAATGTCAAAATGTTCGCTAGCCGCTTACTTAGCATAAGCGCTAGACAGCAGCCGTGTGCCTCTACACGTAGACTACAAGTAAATGCGGTCCAAGCAAGTAGCAAGAAGTCGTCACAGTTTGTTGCAAGCATTCGCCGCTCGTGAGCTCGGGCCCATCTGCCTTTAAGTATGTGCAACAAAGTGCTGTCTAACTTTGTATTTAAGCATTTCTAGTCTATTTTAGTTTAGCTATTGTCTTGCGTCCCCCACCGGTTTTTGTGGGAAGGAGCGAAAGCGCACGCCCACACACAAGCACTTAGTTACTTAGCCGACACGCTTTAGCGCCGAAAAAGTTTACGATGCTATTGCCTGTCAATTCGGGTGTCGGAGTGGCAATGTGTGGGTTTTTGTTTTCGTTTGAGGGCAGACCGACTTGTTTTTGTTTAAATTATGATCGCAAGCTTTGCTACAAAGTGTCTCATGGGAAACCATAATAAAATTGCGGACAATTTGCGGTGCGCGCACAGCGTTTGCAGCAGCCTGGGTAACACAAATAAATCCATTGCAGTCGGGGAATTGTGTGCTAGAAGTCTGACGCAGCCGCGTTATTGTCTTGTTGAGTATGAAGTCTGCATATAGAGGTTTTATATTCGATAAACATTAAGACAGCGATTCCACATTATTCAAAAAGTTTGGGCGAAAGAACAAAATGTTAGAAAAATTAACAACCGATACAAAAAGAAGGCAGAAACCACTATACAACCAAAAATAAAATCCATTAACATTAGAATACAACAACAACAAGCCAGCAGCTAGTAGCTACCATTAGCATTAGCCGAGGCATATAACGAAAAACCAAAAAGCAACAGTTCGAGCCACCACGAACAACCAACACATATGGCCAACGGAAAGTGCCGAAATACCAAGCAGCTTCCCAACCATCTACAGGGCCAACACTTCTTAGCACGAAGAGCGACCGTCAGCCACATTGGCACATCGCCACGACCGTTCTTCTTTCCGACTTAACCATGAAATTTGGACAACTGCCAATAATTTTGGTTCGTGTGCGCGTCTGCAGAAGATGAAACAGCGCAGAAATGCTCGTAAATAGGAAAATCGGGGAAAATTTAAATGCTTTTCGCCGCGATGGTCGGTTTTATGCTTTTTGAGATTTTGCTTTTAATTTTTTTTTTTTTGCTTTGCTTTAATTTTTATTAGATTTTGTTTGTAACACCAGCGTGCGGCTAAGGAAATCAGTGTGCAATTTGAAACAAACAGAAGAAAATAGTTACAAAGCTTGATATAAGAATAGAGACATTCGAGTAAATAGCAGAAAATATAGATTTAAGTTTTAAATTAAAAAAAAATGAAATAAATTAAAAAAGTTAAAAAAAAATTAATTAATTATTACATAAAAATGTATAAAAAAATATAAATAAACTATAGTACAAAAAAAAAATTAACAAAACTGTATGGAAATTAGAATAAAATAATAAAAAATAAAACCTTACGAAATATAAAAAAGTACCAAAAAAGTAAAAAGTTTGAAATAAGAATGAATAAATTTGGGTAAATTGGAGAAAACAGTGATTTGAAAATTTAAATTAGTGAAAAACAAAAGAAAAACTAAAAATGTATATACAATATAAAATTTTAAAAATTATTATATATGAAAAAATAGTTAAAAATAAATAAAATATAAGTAAAAGGCTTAAATAAAAAAAGCTAAATTTGGCTAAATTGAAAAAAAAATAATAAAAACGTAAAAAATAAATATTATATTACATATTCATAAAAAAAAAAATTATAAAATATATAAAGAAAAAAATAAAAAGCTTGAAATAAGAATAATAAAAACTGAAAAGAAGATATTAATAAAATTAATATAAAAATTATATGTGAAATACTATAAAAAAAATTACAAAACACGAAAAAAAATAATAAAAAATATCAAGAAAAAACTTGGCTTGATATAAGAATAAAAAAAAATTAAAATAAAAATATAATTTAAAAAAAATATATAACTATAATTTAATAAGAAGATAAATATAATTACAAAAAATATAAATAAAATAATAAATAACAAATTATAAAATATGTATAATTGTGCGCGATTTAATTTGTTAATTAGAATTATAATTATTAGAATTGTTTGTCAAAACTAAAAGTAAATAAATGATAATAAAAATTATAAAAATTTCAAGAATTATTTTATTTTGCTTTAATATATATATTTTATTTATTTCAGCTGTCAGCTTAGCTACCACTGTTGGCATACATCATTTTAGCCACAGCTGCCAAATCAATGGTCAAGCACAGCCGGTAAAATGCAGATCTTCTAGCTTTTCCTTAATTTGTTTACACTCACGCTGCTTTGAAGATGATGCTACACAGATACACACAACTAACCACATATAAATGTATAAGTATATGTACGTTTGTGTGTGGATATTGTAAATATTGTTGTGTTGCTGAAAGTAAAGCAGCATGCGGGCGGCTACAAATACTACAAATCTGCCGCTTTCGAGGTCAATAAGTATGGCGCAAATTGTTTAAACAAATACAGGGGCCGAATTTATAAAGCTACAGGTATGCGCAGTAAGGCATATAAACAAGCACACACACACACATACATCTCTGGGTATATAAGTTGAAGAACGCGTGTCTTTACAGTTTCAAGCAGTTGCAGGCTATCAAGGCGAGGTGTGTCAGTGGTGACCTTAAATGCAATGTGAAATATATATATATATATATATATATATTATATATAAATACGTATGAGCGAGTGTTTGTTTATTTATGCATGTACGTATCTGAAAGATAAACGCTCAACAGCGTTATGCAGCGCAAAAGATTGACAGTATTGAAAGATGTGCACACTAGAATAAATGAGTGTTTGGATGTGTGTGTGTGTGGATATATATAAAAAGCTGAAATACAAAGATAACGAATCTGAATTGTTACGAAAATAAACAATTATACAATACGCATATATACGTATGAAAGTAAATAACAGTATTTATATGAATTGTTAAAACTTTCGCTACAATTTTTTGTATCTTTTTTCAGGGTTCCGTAAATTTCGTTAAATGGGTATTGAACAAATAAAAATTCTACTAAATTGCATAAAGCAGTTTTTGTTACTATTATTAATTGATATTTCTTGTTACTTTTTTTTTTTTTTGGTTCATTATCATTTTGTTGTTCTAAGACTCGTTGATTGGAGCCATTATAAGCTGGTATCTTTGAACTCTCCCGATGGATCCTCAAAAACGAGGTGCTCATTATATTCTTGTTGAGTCTTAACTAAAGACAATTAACTTCATATTTTTACTTGTGGAATAAGTCTGGAATAAAACTTCAACGGTGAGGGGTCTCTGCTATTTTTAGAACTATGAACTGTTTAGTGCAGAAACATAAGCATATTCATAGGTATCTATACCGAAAGCCAGAAGCAACCACAGCACCATGTATATATGTATATATAGTACCAACTCTATACTAAATCAGTGATGTAGATCTCGACTCAGTAATTTTTTCTATATTGTACATGTCAGTCGGAGTTTTTGATAATGAGATACCAAACGTCTTAGTGTAGTAATTTAGTGTCTTCCAAAGCCAGGTTTTCGTTACAGCGCTACCAGTTAATAATATTCACTCTTGCTCATTGAAGATTTGTTAGAATATGGGTACGTGAATCACTCAGAGTAGAGCGTGAAGCTTTTAAGGTCAATAGAAGTTTTAGCTGTTCTTTTTTGAGCAGGCAAAGGGACCTTAAGTATGGCTCAATGGCTTTCATAAAAGATATAAAACACTGGGAAACAGAAACATGGAACCTGTCCGAAGATATCTTCCCTACTGCAATTTCCTCATTAGTTTAAAGTGCATTCACATGCTGCAATTTCTTTCTCAGCACCTTTGTCTCATAGAGTGATCAGTATTGCACTTTCTACACTTTCTCACCCCATCACGTTGTTTTGCATTCCATTGAAAAACACTTAAAAAGCGAAGGTAAATGAAAAGTATCGCATTTCCCGAGGAAAACGTCTTTATTTTGCCTGCGTAAGGCGATAACATTAAAATAAACAAAATGTCACATATTTTAACGGGGTTTTCTTTTCTTCGCACACACGTCTATATGTGTCAGCTGGTTGCAACAGTTGTGATGTATCAACGCTTTTGTCACCCATGTCTGGCCTCTGGCGGTGCAGTTCATGCGCCCAGCTGTCCAACTGTTCAGCTGTCGCTCCAACCGAGGCTGTCCAGCTGCGGTTTTAAGTGTTATTTTCTTGAACGACACAATTTTAAGAAAAGCGACAATTTTCAATAAAAAAAAATCCATAATTAAGGCGAAATTATTGAGCATACGCGGTAATAAATCAAAAGTTGGCGGGAGCAAGTACTCGTACACGCGGGAAAAAATGAGCGAGAAATAAAGATAGCAACAACAATAAACAATATCCATGACATGCGTCAGGAACACGCAAAGAATTATTACATTCAAATTTAACATTGTCACAACAAAATAAGTTGTGGGTGGTAGGGGAGAGTAATGAGGTAGTCAGCGTCGCGAGTTTTTTAACATACTTTTTTCTGCTTTGTGTTTTTTAGCAGATGCAGGTGCCGTTGCATAGGATTAAGCGGTGCGGTGGGTGGTGGGCTGGTGGGTTGGCCGTCTGCGCTGCGCGTCATTGTCCCTACGCGCGTCAGTGTCAACGCCAGGGTGTGCGAATTGTAATATACATATACATATGTATATATATGCGTATACATACATATACAATATATGTGGTCTAAGTAGGTATGTATGCGTAACCAGCATCTTTATTGTTGTCAACAGCTTTGATTTGCCTTGATGAAGGTGCTCTTTTGCGCGCAAGCACTGTTGTTGTGCTTGTTGGTATTGTGTTTGCTGTTGTTGTGACCATAATAAATAGAGAATTCGTTCTACAGCGTTATTTATTGTATTTTATTTGTCATTCATATGAGTTGTAGGTTTTTTTTTCATTGTAATTTTTATTTATTATTTAATTTTTAATTTTCTTAATTTAATAATAATTAAAAATTTTATATATTATATATTTACATTATTTATATTACTTAATTTTGTTTGTATTGTTTTAAATTTTTTGTTATTAAGAATTTTGTGTAAGTTTTTTTAATTAAAACACATATCTTATTATTATATTATTTTTTTTTATCTGTATTAATTTTTGTTTTTAATAATATAATTTTTTAATTTTCATTAAATTATCCTTAGTTTACATTTCTTTTAGGTTTAATTTATTAAATTTTATTTAAAATAATTCTACTTTATTATTTTTAATTAAAATTAAATTTTTATTTATTTTTTTTTCATTTAATTATCTTCAGTTTTTGTTTCATTTTTATTTAAAAAAATTTATTTTAAAGCATTTTCCTTTTTATTTAGTGATCATTTAACTATTTTTTGTTTTTATTTATTTTATAACAATAATTTTTTAAAGGTTTTCTTTAAGAAAAAGTAAACACAATTTATATACTGTTTTTATAAATTTTTTTATATACTTTTCCTAATTTTTTTAAATTTTATTTTTTGGACTTACTTAAATATTTTCAACAAATTTGTAATCTTTTTTAATTAAAATATTTTTTAAAGATATTTTGCTTAACTTTTTTATAAACCTTTTTATTAAAAAAGTTTTTTTTTTATAATTTTTAATTTTTTTTAAATAATTTGTATATTTTTTTAAATGGTTTCTTTGCAATAAAAAGTAAGCACTCTAAAAATTTTTTATAATTTTTTTTACATATTTTTTCTAATTTATATAAAATGTTTTTTAGACTTATTTAAATATTTTGAATAATATTTTAATTAAAATATTTTTGTTAAAATATTTTGCTTTTACTTTTTTATAATTTTTTTAATTTAATACATTTTTTTATAATTAAAATTTTTTTTAACTTTTTCACCATTATTTCAATTCATTTGTTTTATTTATATGTTTTTAAAATTGTTGCAAGCTCTTCCTCCTTTTGAGCTCATAATATACTCTGATTGATGTGACAGTGTAATTAATTTTCGCCACATGTTCTTGAGCACTAGCAAGGCTATTCGTTGCAGGGTTTAAGTGGTTGCTGAGCCTTGTCGGGATGATTGACTTTCTTCGCTCAGGAAGTTACAAAGCGTGTAAGCGCTTACACATAGGTATGTATGTATGTATGTATGCTAGCATTTAGCGCTATTTTTACGATTTGCTTTATATTTGCATGTGTGCTTTATACCTTTTTGTCTGCACTTTCATTATTTTACAATTAAAAAAGCGTGCGACACTTTGTCACATTTTCCGTCATTTGACGACTGCGACAACCTTTTGCGGTCATTGTTTTCACTCATTGCACTTTTTAATTGCAATTTTTACTACACTTTGTCACATTATTGCTATTTTCTTATTTATTGCCTGTTGTTGTTGGCATCTAGGAAGTGCTTGTCACATAGTTATTTATATACAAGCATATAGGTATGTAAATACATATTTATATGCAGCAATCCATCAAGCGATTACAGTTCGTTGTACACTAAATATAATATGTATGTAAGTATGTTACCCCAGCTCACTTTCCTTACTCACATCCTTTCGTAGAAATTTAATTTCACATACATATTTACACACTCACGCTCTGCATTCATTCTCGCTTTTGATGAATTTGCCTGATTTAAGCGTATTTAGGTGGCTGAATGAGTTTATTGCCATGCAAACGCATAATTTATCGTCTGTTCTCAAATGTTTTTTTGTCAGCAAATTTATATCGAAAGATTTGTGATGTCTTAACTAGCAAATTAATTCATGATTATTTAAAATTTGTGTAGTCATGGCTAGAAGTATTTGTATTCAAATAAATTGTGTATGCCTTTGGTCCTCAGACATTTGTAGACGTCCATGAACGGTTGAGGTGTACAAAAAAATCAGTTTTTTTACCCAAACTAAATAGTCTAGATTTCTTGGACACTACCACAACCTTTAATTGACATTACATGCTTTCCATTTTAATTTCATATAATTTATATCGAAATAATTTTTCTTGCAGATTTATTTACTCTCTATGAACTGCGCATTAGTTCAACAATCAAGCGTTTGATTAAATTTGCGAAGCAGCGCTGTGTAATAGAATATGTGCTAAAAAAAGAAACTGAAACGACACCTTTCAAAACATCTCCTGAAAACAAAAGCTTTGAGATAAAATTCTGCCATTGCGAAATAGAGCTTACTACAATCAGGTTAATTGAAATGGACCAAACCAATAGCAGGAAATTGTTTTTATCTTCCAAAAAGAGAGATATCTACCGAAGAAGCTATATTAGTAAAACTATCTAGATTTGGAAATTTTCACGTAGAGTATACAACCAGGGACATAACCGTCTTTGAATAGCTAGAAAGCTCACCAAAAGCGTCAAACAACACTTAAATACTTTTAAATATGTAGATGTGTAAGAATACAATCCGCCTTTTGATTTTGAATACTTAAAGATCGACGAAAAGAACAAGCAACTCTGTAAGTAGAATTAGGGTAACGCAATAACCATTTGTTTAGAAAGTTTTTAAGCTAATAATTGACAGTATTGGAGGCTTAGAGGAAGACTTTTTAGACTTCGACACTTTACAAAGCCCTAGTTTTGGGTATTGTTATCCGGTTTGTGTTCTTTTAATTTTGTTTTTATGTTTAAAAGTCGCCGTTGGCTGTTATGCCTTGTGGCATATTGACAAGTATCAACTTCTAAATATTGAAATATTAATGTTGACACTGCTTATAGAAACTGTTCCAACAAAGGCTTTCCCGTAAGGTAGATAAAAATGTTTTGCCGACGGTGAGTGCTTATGAAAGACACAGAACGCTGTTTTATATATACATATGGTATATAGCAGATTTCGAGAAATCATTTTGGATATTATATATAATATATATAATTTACCATAACATCACAAAATATTGTCATCATAAACAACAACAACAATGACGCTAATAATATATTATTTCCAAGTTTTACTGATAAGATAAATTCAGCTTCAAGGCTTAAAAAGGTTTTGGGTACTATAGGTAATAAAATAAAAGCGGCGAGAAGAAAGGAGAATTGTCAATAAAGGTGGAAAAGGCGGAAGAGCCTCAAGTATAATTTAAGAAATCGTCGCATGAAAGCGAATTTTGAGAGTAAATTTTTATGACGTCACGTTAGCATTGCGCTAGTCATCATCAATATCTCTAAAGTTGGCGATAATATTTCAACACTATGTTTAAGTATGTTTAGTTAAATAATAGAGAAATATTTTTGATATTATTGTATGTTTTTTATTTATTTTTTTGTCAAAAATTAAAAAAGAAAAATTTACAAACTTTTAAAATTTTCAATCAGTCTATTTACTATTGCGCACTCACCTGTTTGTATATAAAATATATATTTATGTATATAACAAAGTTCACGTTAAATTTTTCGTCTCACAAAACACTATATCCGTTATTTGAATGGCTATATCCATAAAATGTATGTATGTATGTATATAAATGCAGTTATAATAAAGTAATAATTCCAATATACGCGAATGTGTATGTAAGTCAGTGTGCTATGCGAACAAATTTATAATATCTATATGTATATTTATAAAAACGGAATTCCGAAAATATTTGCAATGGAATTGTTTATGCTTTTTTTTTTGTTTTGACACACACTTTTGGCACTTCGTTTAGTTTATTTTGCGTTTGTTTTTACTTTGTTTACAAAAAATTTAACTTTTTCACCGTAAAATAGTTGTTGCTTTAACATATGAATTTTTCATATCCTTTTTTTTTAAACTTTTTAACATTTTGTTCTTATTGTATTTAGTTTTTGTAACTCATTTTGTTCATTTAGTTTTCACTAATTTGCACACTTTTATTTTCTAGAATTTTTTATCTTTTCATATGCAGTTATTTTTTCAATATATTTTCACTTTGTTGCTTTTGCTGTTTTGTACATAACTTTTTGTTTTGTTTCTCGTTTTTCAACACTTTTTTGTTTGATTTTTTTTTGTTCATTTCACTTCCGTCGCTTTGTGTTCTTGCTTGAGTTTTTAATTGGTTTTAATGCTGTTTTGTTTGATAAAGCCGTTTTGATGTTGCCTACTGGTAGAAAAATATAATTAATAAAATAATTTTAGTTGTGTGAAAGCAGCGAAACAAATGCAATTAGTTTTAAATGGCTTTTCGAAGGCTGAAACATTCAATGCAATATATTATATGTTCGAAATAATATACTAAAAACATAAAAAAAATTAAAATAATGTAAAAAATAAACACAAAAAAAAAAAGAAAGAACAGCTTAAAAAATTTCAATAAATAAACATTTGATTTTTATATTTCAACTTTTTTAAAGTTTTTTGTATTAATTTTTTAAGATTGCCGTTGTGTTTTTTCACGAATTTGAGCTGAATTTTGTTGTTTGTGGATTACCAAATAGCAGATAAATAATGTCTCCGGCGTTTTTGTTGATTTTTATTTTATTTTTTGATATGATAAATTTTTCTTGTGTATAGGTTACAGTTAACATATCAAAATAACACCATTTAAATAATTTGTAATTATAAATTAAATTTTATGCAATAATTTTTTTAATATTTTTTTTTTGTGAAGTAAGAAACCTTTTTGTAAAAAAACAGAGTATAAAGTGAAAAAGAATATAATTTTTAATTTTAAAACTAAAAGCAAGTTAATTTATATATTTTATATTATTTTATAAGAGAAAAATATTGATTTCTATTTATATATATATTTATTCATATTAAAAAGTGATAAATTTAATTATTTTTATTTTTTCATATTTTTGGCAGTTTCTTCTATACATAATTCTACTGATTTTTGCATAAAATTTATATAATTTCCAAATTTCTTGAAATCTAAAGACATAAAAAGCCTTAGCAACGCTAAGCATAATTGTCAAATATAATTCCAAAAAAAATTCCTAATTATTTGCAAATTTTTATCAGTTGTTGAACTTTTTCGACTTGTTTTTTTTTCATTTTGCACACACACAAACACAGCGTCTCAACAAATTTAGTAAATCATTGCGTTAAAGAACAGTTGTTCTGGTTTTTTCAAACTTTTTTTATCAGTCACATATTTTAGCATTATTGTTTTTATGTTTTTCGTGTGATAATTGTGGTATAATTCGCCGAGCAGAGGAAGCAAACTTTTTACTGTTTTGTTGTTTGTTGCTGTCTGTTGACATTTTGTGCGATTCATGTTGCGCCCAAAGCCTTGTTTCTACCAAAACTTAGTGCCATTATTTTATCGTTCTATGTTTTTGTTGTCGTGGTTGCACTGATTAGTTGGCACAAATATATAAACAATTTTTTTTTTTGCTATGTGTCTTTTTTCCACTCACGCAGCTTATTTATTATTTGACATTTTGCACAAATATATAAATAAAAAATAAATTAATTTTTTTATGCTTCTTGCATTGTTTTGCTCGTGTTTTTTATTTTTGTTCCTTCTTGCTGTTTTTGCTTAGTTTTGGTATATATTTTTTTAAGCGTTCCGCTTGTAGCGTCTGTCAGCGGCAGCTCGCATAGCTGACAAATTAATTATAATTTTTCGTATTTTTGTATATTTACTACAACAACGACTACATATATGTACATATAATGTCGCTTAGAAAACTGTTTTTTTTTTTGGTGTCGCACGCGCATTCCGCGCATCACGATTTTGATTTAACAAAATATTTATATTTTTTTCGCAGAACAAATTGGAAAAGTAAAACAAAAACTAGTCACGAGATTTGCAGTTTTGCTCGATTTTTCGCCACCGTTTTTGCTGACAATATGTATTTCTTCATTCGTCTTTTTTTTTTGTTAGGTGGGAATTTTAATTAATAAATTATGCTTCTCTCGAAATATTTTTCTCCATTTGTGTTTTGAGTGCACTTTGAGAATGATACACAGTTTTTGGTGAAAAATTCATGAACTTTAATTCAGGCTGGTTTTCATTGATCGTTCATAATTTTCTTAGTTTTATTGAGAGTATTCATGCATTCGAAACTGAAATCGTATATTTTAGGTTGGTCAAAACTTTTTTTTTTCTCTTACTTAATTTTTAAATCAAAGCTTGCATTTCACTCAATTGAATAATGTTTATTAAGCATTTTTTAGATGAACTTATACAATTTCAGATTTTTTGTGTTTTCCATGTTTCTATTATAGTTTCTCTATAATGTCTATCTATATATTTTTTAGTTTATTGTCTTTTTTTACTCACTTCTAAACATTTTTTTTAGTTTCTTCACTCCGATTTCTTTACCTCCTAATTCCAATTTATAATGAAATATGTTTTTTTTTATCAGTCTGTGTTTTTTTTTAAATCTATTGAATTATTTGAGCAACCAATTTTTTCCACTCTTTCAATATATTTATTTAAAAATAATTCTTTATAGTTTCTCTTGCTTTATGTTACTTAACATTTTTTTTTGTTTTCAAATATGCAATTATAATTATTTTATTATAACTTTCAGTCGCCAAATTTTCTATTTTTTTAAAAACATTTTCTTGCACATATAAAACTATTTTATTATGTTTGTTTTAGTTTCTATTAAATTTACAATTATATTTACTTTTTTTAATTTAATTGCGAACTAATTTCTTAGTTTTAACCTATAATAATTATTATTTTTTAATATTTTTTAATATTAATTTCAGAAATTTTATTTAAAACAACATTGTTGTTGTTGGCATATTATGCCTCAAGTAAATATTTTTTATAAATAAAGTTATATTCTTCTTTTTACATTAAAATTTGTATTTATACTTGCAAAAAATTAAAAAAAATTTTCAAAACTTGTTGTTTTGTGAATTGTTTGAGTTTTTCGGATTATTTTAAAATTGAAATTTATATTTTTTACAACATTTAGTTTTATATTTTTTTTTATGCAAAAATTTTTTTTTTTACAAAATTTAGTTTGATTTCGTTTTTATGTTAAAATAAATTTTTAAACACTTTTTTATTTTTATTTTTAGGAATTCAATTCTAAATTATTCAATTAGTTTTTAATAAGTTATTTTGTGTTTTTTATTAAAAAATGTGTTATTTGAATATTAATTTGCAAAGCCGTTTTTATAATTCTTTGGATTGGTTTTAGATTGTTTTAAATAGTATTTTTTTCTAATATTTAGTTTTTTATTCCTTTTATGTATAATTATTAAAGTTTTAAAATCTTTTTTTAAATTTTGTGAATTAAATATTCAATTTTAAATTAATTAATTAGTTTGTGATAACTTATTTTTATCATTTTAAGTTACTTTAATTTATTTGAACATTTAAATTAAATTTTTTGTTAATTTATTTATTTTTATTTATGCTTATTGAAATTTAAGTTTTAGATTTTTAATTTTTGTTTAGTTTAAAATTATGTTTACTTTAACTTAATTTTTCTTATATGCATTTTTGCACATTTTTGTCTTCTGCCACTTTTACCACAACAACAAAATTTTGTCGTTTTCTTTAATTCATATTAAAAGTTTTAAAAATATTCTCAAACAACTTCAATTTAATTTAGACTCGTAGCTGGCGCACACATTTCATGATTATTTTTTAAGCAATTGGCAAATGTGCTATGTATTCAGTCATATAAGCCAATTTGCATATACATACGTACGAATACACTTAAATACATAAATATTTACTCACTTAAGTTATACTATTTGCATTTGTTTTTTTTTTTTTTAATTTTTTTTATTTCATTTATTTGGTTTGTTTTTTTACACTGCTTCCACACAACTATGCGCCGCAATGTTAAAAGAAAATAATTTTAATTTTGGTGCTTTTCCATTTCACTTTTATTGTAGCGCTTTCTTTGCGAGCATTTCACATGAAATTTTCTCTGACATTTTTTTGACAAAATTTATTTTATATAATTTTTTTTTTATAATTGTTTACTTTCAATTTTCCAAAAGTACGTTAGAGCTCACTAGTTCTTAGGGGCGTTTCGAACACAGAAAATTAGCGCACCATCTGCGTTTGCGTTGGGGGTTGAATTGAAGAGGCGACTTTGAAATTCGCTGGTTCGGCTGCTGCGGATGTTGCTGCCGAACTGAAATGTGTGGCCAGCAGACAGCACAGTATAGACGACTCTGTGACTCTGAAATGCAGATCCCACTCAACACACCACATCACACACACGCACGCACACACTTACACAGAGGCGCAGACACTTGGTTCAACACAGAACCGCATAGTAAAAGTAAGAATGAACGACAAAACCAACACAAAAAAAAACAAGAAAAATAAAAGCAACAACCGAGAGTTTTTCACTTCACTACACTTCAATTGTAAGGCAGCGCGCGGCGGTGCACGCGGGCTCAACAGCTTACTGTTTGTTTGCTTGGCTGACTAGCTGGCTGGTTAGTTAGTTAGTCCACCACCCGTTCAGACGTTCTATTCACTTCGATGAACATCTTGTAACTATTTTCGAAACGCGAACGCAACTGCAGAGCAGACCACACCAGAGACCAGCAGAGCAGACCGGACCGTCTGCGCCGACAGCAGACCAGACGACGAGCCAGCCAACACCAGCGCTAAAGCCAAGTCAAGTCAAGTCAAGTCAGGCCAACCCAAGCACTCAGCAGCAGCAGCAGCACCAGCACCAGTAGTCGTCGTTGTACACGTTGTTGTAGTAGTATTAGTAGAAACAACAGAAAATTAAAGCAAAAGCAAGCAAAAGTCAACCAACAAAGCGACCAGCGCCGAACCAAGAGCAATAGCAAGCATTGCCAGCAACAACAGCGCATACCATCACCTAATCTACACACAGTGACTCGGCTGAGTGCCGGTTTGTATATGTGTGTATCATATGCTGTTGCTGTCCACCAGCACCGTGCTTCGCGCCGCTCACCATTCATCGCTCACTGGCTGCTGTTGTCCATACTCGTATACCCGCACCATAGCAGAGCACCAGCAACACAGAAACCGAATTCATCGTCGACGAAGCAGTCGCCAAGCGCAGAGATAAGTATAAACAAAAGCAGAGCCGACACCGGGTAAAGAGCAAAGAGTGGTGCGATGGCGTGGTGTGGTCGGCTGGGCGGCAAGAGCAACAACAGCAGTGGAGGCATCAACAGCGGAACCCCCGAAAGTGGCAGACACACAGCACAGGCGAACAGATATGCGAGTGTTAAAAAATCGCAATGACAAAATTAAAAACAAAAACAAAAACCAAGAAAAAGCAAAAGTAAAACATAAAGAGCAGCATGTCGGCGCGCTTGTAGTAATCCATCAGCCGAATGAGTGTGAATAAGGCAGCCGAAGAGAGCAGCAACGAAGCGCGCAACAGCGGTAGTCAAGTCAGCATAACAGCAGTAGCCTCATCATTGGCAGTCTTTCAATGGGCTGTTGGACTGTCTGTCGGCATTGTTGGGGTGCGAAGAGTGCGATTACAAATACACAACAACAAATGCAACAAACCGTGCGTTCTGTGCGCTGCGCTCTGCGTTTGGTTCTCGGTGTTCGTTGCTCGCCATAAATCTCGCATTGCCAGTCTATGAAATGCAGAAATTGGTTGCTTTCGATTCTTGTCAATTTTCAATTCTAAGCCAGCCGATTTGTGCATTTGAATCGTGCCTAGTCGGCTTATGACTTAGCATTTTAATTAGCGACGTAGAAAGTTTAATTATACTTCCTCTTTATGGCGCATTGCACTTGAAGGTTATGTAAATGAATGCATTATATGTAAGCTTAGTGGCAAATATATTATGTAATTACACCGATCCGGATACAACACAGAGAAAGTCTAGTGATCATAAAGCTAAAATATATTCTATCAATTGAACGTGTCTATTTTAATGAACACTCGGGTCCAACCCTTTAGAGATCGCTAGTAGCATCCAATAATAACTAGTTCCAGAGACGATGAATATGAGCAAAGAGTTGCGCTGCAATGAGAAATGAGTATAGTCTAGCTCTGGACTAGCTTCAGCGGATTCGGGATTATTTAGTCTGATATGTTTTATAAAGTATAAAAATTACGTCAAATTGTCTTTTGGACATTTTTATAAGCTATATATGTATGTTTGTAATATATGTATATATGTCAAACACATTGTCTTAGAAAAGAGTTTAGGAAAAGTTAAGACTGTAACCGCTGAAGTTTACAAAAAGTCTACAAAATTTGGAAACCGTAAAATGATGTGTCTAACCCTTAAGTGAAGCAAACCGCAAAGATTTTACAAGAAAAAATGTTGAAAAATTAAAAAAAGAATTCTTACAATAAAAAATTCGTCCCAGATATACTATATTTATAAACCTTTTTCAGATTGATAAAGTTGCTCTTTTGTCGAATTCCTTCTGAGTAAGATGAACCTCCTATTAAGTAGCCTTTTCACTTATCTATTTCCCTAGACCAAAATTGTTTCTAATTTCGACAGCCTATTAATAAGGTTAGGTTGTGGGGTTATATAAAATCGTTGGATCTCATTTTTTTTATAAGGTTACTCGAAAAAAAAAATTGAAAGGTTCGCAATTACAGACAAACCTTTAGTGTACTCTGTGATATCCTAACCTCCAAACACTTAAAATCCTGTAAAAGCTCAATTATTTGTCTTAAAAGTTCTTGTAAAGCTTGATATGCTTCAATTTCAATAAACTTTGACATATAAATCGTAAGATACGGTGATGTTTGTAACTATTTCTTTGTAAAATATTTTCGCATCTAACATTCGATAATAGTTTCGGTTATATAGATATATTTTACGTATTTTTGGTAATACATATTTTTCATCACTGAATTTTGCCATTTTGTTGAAAGAAATTGGCACAATACTCCAGTTAAGCTTTTGTAACAAGAAAATCATTATGACTTTGAAAAATCATAGATGCTCAACATCTAACACCAACAGCATTCATAGTAGATAACATACACCGCAAACGCTGTTAATCCATTAAAACATGACTGGGCTCCACTGTTAGCTTCAATGTCAATAACAGCACGCTGTTATCGTTACATACAGCCCGTCTTTGCACTAACAGAAGCACTACACTTACTAACCACCAGCATTTTCCTACAAATGCAACAGCAACAACAAAAATAAGCACCACACGAAAAAACTTATGTTTTTTTACCACACACGAAACACACAAGAGCAACCGACGAATGGTTTTAACGAATCGACTTACATTGACTCACTGATCGGCGCAATAAGAAATTCTAAATTGCAACCAACAGCAAAAACAACAGCGCTAATAAATTCTAACTAAGTAACACGCGCACCACAAATATGAGAAGTTAAGCACTTGTTGTTTTGCTGCAGGCAAAGAGCGCACTAACGAAAGCGAATGTTTCTTCGGCTTGAGTGGCTCCAGCAACAGCAAATGCTCGCATTGTGTAACAGCAAAAGCTTTTAGTTGATAAACGAAGAACTAAAATAAGCCAAAGAGCAGCTGAAGTTAAGCATTCCAAAATGGAATGAAAGAAAAACCGAAGAAAAATATCAGAACGTTTGCGTTGTACTCTAATTCGACGCGCTCTCTCTCTCTGTTACCCTTTATTTTTAGCGAAACAACGATTACACTGAGTGGGGGTTGTCGCTGTTATTGTGTGGAGGCTGCGCTGTTATTTGCAGCATTTTTACAGTACTCCCTCTGTTATTGCGGCTTCCTGCACACCTCTGCTGTTAATCGTTTTTCTGAGCGATATTCTTGTTTGTTCCTATGTTCAACTACTGTACGCTCATTTTCACCAACGAATACATGTAACGCTCTCTTACTGACTTTCTTGCGCTCTCTCTTCGCTTTTTGAAGTGCTTGCATTGTTGTTGGTTTGTATGTAAGTCCTCATGCATCTTCGTTCCATTTACACTCGCCTTAGTAAAATGAAATGCTTTTGCGGTTATTTATTATATTCGTAAATTTAAATGTTATTGTTGTTGTGTTGTTTTTCATTATTGTTACAGCTAATGTTGAAATGCAATAATATTCAGTTGACATTCGTGGTTGACGCTGTTGTCGATGCTTCAGCCATGTGTTCGTGCTTTCGATTTTATGAATATGAGTGTTATTTAAATGCTGAATTCTGGACAATTTCGGTTTCGTGGTAATTTGAAATATGCATAACTGTATAATGTGGGGCATGCTGAAGTGCGATATGAGATCATCGACCGTTCAAAGTAATAAAAATACATACAAATTGTACATATGTAATATAGGTAGTTGTACTTGAGTCTGAGTGACAGTTACATGAAGAAGGCTTACGATTTTCGTCTTTATCTAAGCACACTTTGGGAAACGCTGAGGATACAGTGAATGAATAGTTTGAATGTCAGATTGATACCAGTGATATTAATGAAGATATCCTTAGTTTAACGGGCAGTCTGACAGCAGCGTTCGAGCAGACCGAGTAAAGTCAAACAAAGTCAAATTTGAGTTTCAGTTGAATAAACGAAATAATCGACAAAGTGATTAATGGAAATTGATTGACATACATGTAGGAAAATCGAGTTCTCACAGAGCCAAATATTTCGTTGAACTTGGAAATAACGAATATAGAGAAAGTTTAAGGAAGCATTCTGTATAAACCCATTTGTACTAGTACTGGGCTTTTACATAAGGTAATGGAGAAGATGTTATCGTCAAAAATATCGCTGCATTTTTAAAGAGAAATGTTGTTACGGTAGCTCAGAGTGTGGCTATACCATTCCCACAATAGTCCACTCTATGAATACGGAACGGACTTGAAGCAGACCTGGAACTAAGGGGACGTAGCAATATTCTTTAAACTTATTTTTGAAAAATAGGACAAATAATGACTGAGGAAAAGTTGATGTTAAAAAAAGGGATTAATTTTGGTGACCTTGGGCGATCAGTGGACGTTTGGAGGCTATATAAATCAATATTTGACAAAATAATAGAGTTTCTCTATTCTAAGAGCTAGTACCAAAGTTTATACAATTGTCTATGAGATGACTTTGATCAAATCGAAACCCTCATGAAATTATATGCATAGTTAAAAAGAAAGCTTTAATGATAGGGAATTTTGATTAAACAAAGACTTTGAATTCCCAGAACGATCTATTTATAAGAAAAAAAACTGCCAATAAGAAATTAAGTTAATTCAGTTTGAAAAAAAAAATAGTTTTAGGAAATTAAACTGAGAAATTAAGGTCGTTCTCAAGAAGGTCATACATGACCTCTTACTGGGATAAGTTAGACTTTACAATGTGCAAATGTGGGTAATAGTAGTAGAAGCTTCTTCTAAGATAATCATTAAACAGTCATCAATTGAAGTAATTTTTTTCTGATCTTCAGTTACCTTCTACTACTCTACTTCGCCAGAAAAAGTTTTTTTTTCTAAGGAACTTCGATTGGACTTCAAAGATAACTTTCAGTAAGAAAAGAGGCGAAAAAATTATATTATGTTAAAGCGTTCGTCATTTTGTGATAATTTGATTGACTTTTGAGACAATATCGGTAATCGGCAAATGATTTTGTAGTCAAATATAGTTAAATTTGATTTCAAAATTTGAGAAAAAATTTTGAAAAAAATTGGCCGTTCACTTCTAATTCTTACGTTATACAGTTCTTCTAAATAAAGGTTTAGAAATGGGAGTATATGTAAGGCTCCTCGTCCTTACTCATCTGTCTCATACTACTTTTAGCTATCTTATGTCCTTTCAACCGTAATGAAACTTGAATCTCATAAAAAAGTCTGTGCATCAAAAGGGGTAAAATGTAGTCTCAATCGCCAACTTTGCCAACCGATTAAAGCATAACTTGAATTTTTAACGACAATGCACTAATGGAAATTGTAAGCGCCTTAAAAGTTCAATAAATAACGAAGAGCATAGCAAGCACGTGTAGCGGATAGTATGAAATTTCAGAAATTAAATTTTTAAGCTGTACGAAGGACATACAAAATGGGAGAAAAGCAATTGCAAGTGGAAAATAATAAAAAGTCTAAAGTAGTTTCGCGCAGTTAAGATGGAACATTAGAGCTAAAACTATGTAACTAAAACTAGTACATAAACAGTCGGTATGTAAAAGTATTCGCAGTTGATTAGTAAACTTGCAACCCACCAGGCAACCAGCCAGCCCTCCAATAAATCCAATGTATCGAAACATGAAAGTTTTGTTGCGCAAATCTCATTTCCGCAATTTGTGGGCGCTAGGAACGGCAAAATATTGTAACAGAGGCTAAGATATCGACAGACAGACGCTTAAAGTTTCCCGCCAACTGTGTGAAGCTGCGTCAAAGCGAAGTGCCGCGAAACAACGCTGTTGCACGGCCGTTAGTTATGCTGAGTGGATTGGAACAGGAGGTTGAGTTTGATTGGAATCACGGTAGCGTGCATGACTAGTTGCTGCTCGGATGTAAGCACGAATAAGTGTATATATTTCCGTAAGTGCCGTGTTAACAGGGGAAACAAGTGAAAACTACAACAACTCTATAGTGTTTTTGTTTTTTATTATTTTCCACTTCTTTTAGCTGTTTGGCGCACAGCCAAAATTCGAGCCGTCAAAACAGACAAATAGTCAACTTGTACTCGCATGTAGGAGAATACATCGTCACACTATCACCCAGTCAACAAGTCAGCTGGGTCCAAGACGCAGCAGATGAGACAAATGAATTGTGGTTGTGAGCTTGAGTGAAGGTTTTTTTGCGGGAGCTACAAGAAAAAAAAAGCAAAAAATTACTTATACATGCAAACAATCGCCGGGATAGCTGACAGTTGGTGCGAATGCCAGCTGGTGATGCGAAGTAATAAGAAGTGGATAGCGCTCTACGAATCTGAATGGAGCTGGGTGGCATTATAAAAATATATTAGCCTATTTAAGTGATAGGAAAGTCTATGTACTCAGGATGGACCCGGGTTTATATCCGGCCAAGGACGATTAACTCTGTAGCACTCCTCAAAATTATGGTGTGACTATCTCTGCAAGTCAAACGAGGTATCTATATATGAGATTAAACAACAAAATTCTAAATATTTTAATTTCAAATGGAAATTTGAATGTGTTAGAGTCGTCTGTGTACTCCCGTTTCTTTCTTCTACCGAATTTCCACATCCTTGACATAGTTTCAACAAAACATATTCTGAATTCTTTCTTCTCTCCTCAGCTCTCCACAGCTCTTTAGTCTTTTCCATCGCCGTAAATCGGCAACTTTTCATTTTGTCTTGTCATCAGCTGTAGCTAGCTTTCTTGGGATTGAATTTTAAATGAACAATTGAATGAATAGTTAAATAAATGGTTTCTTTGCTGGTTGAATGCCTGCACAGCTTTATGATCACATTCTTTGCGGTCGATTGGTCGCTGGCTGCGTCTTTCAAGTAGCAGGCGTTTACCATATATGCTTGACTTATTGAAGAAGAAGACTTAAAGAAGAAAAAACATTTGCTCTGTCCAATTTAAATTAGAGCGCACGGAAATACCGTTCGAGAAGACAAAGATAAAAACCTGGACTCTGAGTTGTAGAAACTCCTTTAGGCAGGAAACTTTTTATTTATATATAAAATCTGAGCTGAATTCGATCCGAAGTGAATATTGTAAAAAAAAAAGACAGAGAGGTACTCGTTTGCGCTCATAAATTCTACTTTTGATAAAGATGACTACTACGACTACTAGTCGTAGAATAGTTTTAAGCCCATTAAGCATAACCAGAAGTCTTTTGAAAAATGAAAAGTTGTATGGTGGTTGGAAGTTTTCAAGAGGAAGATAATACCAAAAGTTGGGATTCACATAGCTATGGTTTTGGATTTTAGTTTCATATACTTGTATTACATTCAAGGAGTACCGAGAAGACCGAAATACCACTAGAATGCATCGTCTTGCATGAACATTTCGTAACCAAACATATATTTTCGTTGATTCGTGGATTACGGGAAACACTGACTAACCGAAATGACAGTCTTGAATTTTCAACGGATTCATTTATCCATTCAAAAGTGAAACATACAAATATTTTTTGAGTAACTATGATAAGTATTTCAAGCTCTTAAAGCTACAAAATCTTAAGCTTCTAAAGATTTTCCCCTAATAAAACCCCAAGCAATCGTAAAAAAACTAATTACATTCCTACCCGAAACCATAATAAAAATAATTTGCGCACACACATGAGCATGCGAAGTGCGTAAAATTTTAAAGCGGCAAAGTAATTTAAGTGAAGACATCAAAAAGCTCGTCAAGCAGTCAAGCGACATACTAACAATGTTAAAAAGGCGCAAAGAAATTGAGAGACTACAATTCAGACGACAACGACAGTCGGATGAGAAAAGCTTTTTATGATCTTTTTTTTTCTCGCAATTTTATAAAATTTTGTAAAATAATATTTCGTCTGCAGGAAATCGTTGCATTTGATGAAATTACACGAACTGCTGCTTCGTCGGAATACACAATCGAGCGTTAGGAGTTCAGCAAAGTATTGCTAGCTGAGCGGGTGGACAAGCCTCACTTAGACTCAATGCAGGTTAACTGTTGCGCTTGACGGGCGCATGGAAGACTGGCTATGTGTGGGGGTTCGAAGCTGTAACAATTCGATAGAAAATTTTACAGAAAGTCAACACACGCGCACACATTGAGGACAAGGCACAAACAAGCTGCCAGACATTAAAAATAATGCTAAAAGCTGGCAATAAAAGAAAGGATAACCACGTGTGCACAATAAAACGAACATAAAAAGAGTAAAACGAAAAATTTAAGAAAATCGCAAATGCAAGTAAAGAAACGAGAAGGTTCAAAGCGTGCCAACAACTTGAATGTACAATAATAAAGAAAGTAAATCTTGGATCAGCAGTAAAAATATATTGAGCGAGTTGGAAAAATGCTTTGAAAAGTTCTCAAGAATACTGAAGGCGACATAGAATGCGAATGCGTGGGTAAAAAATGCGTAAATGGCGAAGGTCAAACCGGTAAACCGAAAAATGTGCGTCAGTGAAAACATTGTTGAAACAGAACAAGCTATATACGTACTATTTACCAATTAGAGGAGGTATGTTTGTGAGGTGAGACTTTGGCTCTGCAATACATGTGTGAGCGTAGTAGCGTAGGTAAGCTATTAGCCATGCAACCATATTACTAATGATGGCGTTTATGTGCCACATCCGTTTCCGGCGAATGCGCGTTCCGGTTGTTGCACAAACATATGCATAGACGCGGTACGTTTAATGCCAGAGCCAAAGGAATTGTAATGTGAAAGTCGGTGAAAGAGTAAGCGTGACGAGGGAATAAAGACACAGGAATTAAATTGATATAAGGCAGTAGGCAAGACACCGATGCGAATTTATCAAAGGATGTGATACTACATTTTATTTCCAAGGGGTTCGGTCAAACGAAAACCCTCAAATACATTTGAAATTTTTTTCTGGAAGTAAAGAAACGGGAATCTAATGACTTTCTTTCAGGCTTTACTAAACATATAAATTATTCTAAATTTGTAAAAATTTTCAAATTTGAAAATAAAAAAATTGTACTTAGTTTATTGTTCAATTTGCCAGCGGATAGTCTCCAAGTATCATCATCGCTTGATTAGAAAAATAAAGTTTCATGAAAATCGCCAACTCGATCGCTTCGAGAATAAAGCGGTTGGGACAGACACATTTTTTTCACGATACTGCCAATTTAATCATATTTTTGGAATCCTAATATATAATTAAAGCGAAAAAATAGCCTTTTTGAAAATCATAGATTGGCCTAAATTTAATTCAAAATCGTAAATACGAATATTTAATTGAATTTTCCCCGTTCTTCTTGGCTCTCACAGACTCTCACAGACTCTAACCGGTTTTTATTGGCTCTTGCCGGTTTTGAGCTACCGCCCAGGCTATAGTATTTTCATTTACTGCTATCGACTATTGTTGGATCTCACCGAACTGGAAAGAGGCTCTCTTGGCTACTATCGGCTTTCTCGCCTCTCAACGGCAATTGTGAAAATCAAGAGTTCCCCAGTTTTATAAAAATATACCCGAAATGTCTCTGGTTCCGCTGGCTTTAGATAATCTTTTAATATAACTATTTTTATTTGAGTTCCTGTTGGCTGCTACTCCGAAGCTAAAGCAGCTCTTACACTCAAACTTTATTTATAGATTACGGAATACAGTTAGGATGTAAGAAATTCATAATTTTCTATTTAATATATTTTTATCTTCTTCCCGGATTTTCCTGCTTTATTTTTTTTTCCAATTTCCACAAACTTATTTGCAACTGACAATCCATGTCGCCGACATTTGTCATGCGCTTAACTAGAAGTTGTAGAAAAGTGTATTAAACAAACCACAAATTTAAAAAGAAAAGTGAATAAAAGTACAGAAAGAAGTCTGCATTAGCATAGAAATCATTTTTGACTTTGGTATTAGTTGACATTGTGCCGACGCATAGTAATGCGCTCATTTGACACTCACACACTGTCACTCATATCTGCGCTCATATCACTCACAACGGTATATTAACATTTCAATGCGCGACCGTTCGGGCTTTCACATTTTCCCCCCACGTACATAAAACACTTTTACTTTTTCACTTTTGCTACAATTTTCCACACTTTTTGTTGTTGTTGTTCGCCACTCAGCTGCGCCTTTTTATTCTTTCTCCGGTTCTTCGGGTACAACTGAAGTGCTTTGTTGAATGATTCATGTCCGAAATAGACATACATATGCAATTGGCGGTGAATATGTATGTAAGTATGTATGTATATGCACTTATCTAACATCTGTTTTATCTTTTTTTTGTGAATTCTGGCTCTACCTTTGTTTCCTAATAACATAGTGTCAGTGTGAGTGACGCCTCGGCGACCTTCGGCCTGCGCTGCCGTAACGTACACTTGGATGTTTATAGTTATATATGTAAATAGGTAACACTTTTTGAAGTTTGTCATTGTGGACCTTCCAAAGACTTATAGTAAATATGCATAGATTACAAGGAAAAAGGGTGATGTGTTCGTAAATATATGATTAAGAGTATGTCCATATATTTGCGCTTAAATGCACTGTTGCATAAAGAAAATTCTTTTGGAAAAAAATCCGAAGACTTCTGCGGTTGAAAGCAATTCTAACTTTTGACCAAGCGGTGTTTGCGATAGGAGAAAAGATAATAGAGAGTGAGAAGAGCGTGCAGCCGGACTGTCTTCTAATTTTAAATATGAGGCCTGCGAGCGCTGTTTACTCTTAGTCAACACCTAATTTTCGAAACGGTTTTTCGGGCAAAATCTACTTTTTTTTTGTTCGGAATGTGCAAACATGAACGTTCGAGTCGGATTGGATAATCGTACTTGTAATGCTCATTAACAGCTTAATAGGTGTAAAAACCATACCTTTTTGCAACCGAAGTGTTCCCAATCTTCAAGTCAAATTACCGTAGTATTCAGAATTTTGTAAAAACACTGATCGGATCTTATTAGTTAGATGACAATCAACCCTTGATCATATATTCGAAATGTATCAACTAAAGGAAGAATCTCTATACTATATATACTCTATACTCTGAAATTAATGGCAGTATCACGTTGGCTAAGACATCATTATCTTGGAGAATATACCGCTGATCTCAGAAACCTAATTCTATAAAAATACCCAAACAAAATCATTCGCTTTTTGTGAAGCTGTTAGATTTACGTTCCTGGACTGGATGTGAAAACGACTATGGATAGGTTATAGCCGGTCTACAGCAATAACTTAATTTTGGGAAAACGATTTAATAGCGCAGTTCTAACCAAGTAGGCTGGTCTGAAGCCTTTCATATACAACTTCTCTAAATTTATTATTTGGTCAACCCATTTACAAGCCACAAATATACCTATATATGTAAATAAATGGCAAACGAACGCAATTAAATGCGTTAAGATCGTCGAGCCGTCATGTGACACATTTTGAGTTTACAATATGTAATATTTAAAGCAGCACACAAAACCCTAATTTCGTACCTAATTAACTTTCTGCCATCAAATAGTGCGTCTTAACTGAACTAGAAAAGTAACTCTTTCTCTCTTTCACTCTAAGCTTAGGCTATGAGAGTATAAAGCTCATTACTGATTATGTGTTGTGTTTTTGTGTGGTCAATGAAATCATTAGTCATTATCAACGTTTAGACACATAATTGGAAATGAACTGTTAGTTATTTTCGTCTTTATACTTTGACTCAGTATAGAAACTTACAGAGCCCCATTCATTCATTCGCACTATTCTTTTGTAAATTGTAGCAAAGCAACAAAAACAATAAATGCAAAAAAAGATTTTTCGACACCCTTTCTCCTTGCACACTCATACTCACACTAGCCTTTATTATTTTCATTGTCCGCTAAAATACTCGTGCGAGTACGCCTTTGTTGTCTTTTCCCCTCATATTTCATTTTCAGGATTTTGCCAATTTCATTTTTCGCCACTTGTACGCTTCCGGTTGCCTCTATTAACAGCGACAGCCATATATACAAACCTACACATGCATAGTGAGTTATGCTATAAGTAAATTGATGTGCGGTGCTAGTTGCATATTCGACTCGTTGGTCAGCCATGAATCCACTAGTGGTGCTACTTGGCTTTCTACAATTTGTTTTACGCTTCTGCATTTGCTAGTAAATCAATTTTGGGGTAATTTTTTATAACTTTAATAAGGATATCCGGTTCTGGCTTATGAAGTGATGGAACAAAGGAAAGTGCGGTATAATCTTTAAAGAGAAACAGATCCACAGTAACACATCAGAGACCAAGGAACAGTTGAAACCAGAGTCTTTACCTGGCGAATTTGCTCCGAAGCAGCCAAGATTGTGCTATCGGTCGGAATTGTGTTAGCCACCACTTTCTGGAATGGAGGGCAAGGGTCACATACCTCTACTATGCAGAATTCATAGTTTCATTCATCGTCAAATTGCATTATGACTTCGTTTTTTTTTTAATTTTAAATTTCAGTGCATTTTTGTCCATACAACTCACATACTCAAATCATCTACTGTTATTTTCTTTAATATTTTCAACAAATTGCACAAATTTCAATGCCACTTCTCACTCTATTCTTCTGTTTTTCCGCAAGGTCGTCACTGTTGCTCCTTTGCTCAGTGCATAAGTACCGGAAATCGTATTAAGCATCCCGGCACTTTCACTTCAACCAACTATTTAACACTTCATATCTAAATTTTTTATGACTTCCGCCCGTTGCGCCACCTGCTGTGTCATGGAAATTAGTCATCGTTCTTTCGACTGGTTCCACAATTTTTTAAGGCTCGCACCGACATTTATAACTGAATTTATTTGGCAGAAAAATGAGAACTGTAAACGAAATTAAAGAAAGAAGACAACCGGAAATAACTCGCTGCTTCTGTTCCCATTTTTAGCATAAAGAAGTCTTGGAAGTTAAGTAAATCATGCGTTTCCTCGAAGAATAATGTGGCATTTTTGTGGTGGCGGTTGATAATGAACTTGACTTGGCATGCCGCCAGTTTGTCTTTATATATTTTTATACTCACGCAACATGTTGCACCGAGTATAATAGTTTTATTCACCTAACGGTTGTTGACATCACTAAAAACTAATCGAGCTAGATATGTCAAGTTATGTATATTTAAATGATTAGGGTGACAAGACGAATTGAAATACGAGTTGAGTGACTGTCTGTCCGTCCGTCCATCTGTCCATGCAAGCGATTACTTGAGTAAAAATAGAGATATCTTGATAAAACTTGGTACGCGTATTCCTTGGGGGTTGGTATTGCAGATGGGCGTAATCGTACCAATGCTGCGCCCACAAAACGCCAAACAAACCCAAACAGTGTATAACTAAGTCTGAAATTAAGTTACTGTTATTTGGCGTACGTGGATCGCAGTGGTGATGGGCACTTGTGGGCTTGACATTTTTTTTACAGAGGGCGTGGCCCCGCCCTTTACATGGTTAAATGTATATAACTTCTAAAGAACTGAAGCTATCTCAACTAAACTCGCTGAGAAGAAGTCTTCTTAGTTCTTCTTTCCACACTATAAAAATGTGGAAAATCAGATAATAACCACGCCCACTCCCGATATAACGGTTATTGCGAACATTACTAAAAGTGCGATAATTCACTGAATAAAAAAGCCACAAGCATTAAATTTCACAGCCAGGATGGCAGAGAAGAGTTTAACGGCAAATACAAAAATTGGATAATGGGCATGGCACCGCCCACTTTTAGGTGAAATCTCAGTAGTTACTCAACCAAATTTATTGTGGGTGAAGTAATTCTATATTACTTGCACACTATGGAAATGGGAATCGGTATGCTATGGGGATAGTGGAATCGGTTGACAACCACGCCTACTATCTATATAACACATTTTAATATTCCATCTGATTTTTTCATTTACAGTACACCAGTCATACATCAATTACTTTATTATTGTAAAACTTTGCCCAAATAGTGTTGTCAAGGTATTTAAGGTTACGCCCAAAAA